CCCATATAATGTGTGATGTATGAGTGAAGTTTGAACTTAATCGGTCCATGCATGTTCGAGATACAGGTGATCACGGACGCACGGACGCACGGACGGACGGACAGACGCACACAGGGCAAAACATAAGTCCCCGTTTTCGGACTGCGTCCGAACGGGGACTAATTAATATGAACAAATTTTAACCCAAAATTAATCAGGCCTGTCTATTGTCCTTAGTAGAGCATTTATGTACCAAATTTTATTCAAATGTGATGATCAGTAATTGAGATATCAGTGTTAATTAATTATGTTAACTAATTGGGTTTCTGCATAGTTCTCTACTTGATATATCAAAAGCTGAAAATTAATTAATTATGCAAATTAGCTAATTAATATATACTGATATTACCCTAAAAACTATCAGGTCTGTGCAGTGTCCTATGACATCTATGTACCAAATTTCATTGAAATGTGATGATTACTAGGTACTTGAAATATCAAAAGCTGAAAATTAATTAATTATGCTAATTAGGTTATTAATATGTACTCGTATAACCCTAAAAACTATCAGGTCTGTGCAGTGTTCTATGACATCTATGTACCAAGTTTCATTGAAATGTGACAATTACTACTTGAAATATCAGTGGAAAAGCTGATGATTGATTAATCATTATGCAAATTAAGTAATTAATATTGCACAGATTTTTACCCAAAACTAATCAAATCTGCGCATTAGTTTGGAGCATCTGTGTGCCAAGTTTCATCAAAATCCAATGGGTGGTTCTTTAGATATCAGTGGAACAGTCATGGAACAGCTAAAAATCAGCTAATTATCATGCAAATTAGGTAATTAATATGCATGGATTATTACCAAAACCTAATCAAATCTGCGCATTGGCCCAGAGCATCTATGCACCAAGTTTCATCAAAAACTGATGTATGGTTCTTGAGATATCAGTGGAACAGACGGATGGACGGACACACACACACACACACACACACACACATACATACAGACACACTAACTGCAAAGACTCCCTTTTTGTGCTTTGTTTTGAGTCAAAAACAAAATGATGTGCCTCAAGGTCCCATAATGTTTAATGTATATACCAAGTTTGAACAAAATCCATCTGTAAACAGCAGAGAAATGCTTGATTTTGAAGATTTTTCAGTACAAAAAATGGCCACCATTCGACCATCTTGAATCAGATCGTGAAACAAATTGATGTACATATGTATCGGTCCAGGCATGTCTAAGATGCAGGTCTGGACGGACACACGGACGAACGGAAACACGGAAGAGTCGAAACATAAGTCCCCATTTTCGAACTGTGTCTGAACGGGAACTAATATTTTGAGAAGCAAGGTTCATCAACTACATAATGGTTAATCCATCAAAAACACATGCCTGAGATCTGGTACATTTTTACGATTTAAATGGTTGCCAGTCAGCCAAGTTTGACAAAATCAAAATAGGTGCATATGTAGCAAATAAGACTATGCGATACTGTAATTAGTAAGATTACAGGCAAAGCAATCAGTCAAACTGTTTTACCTCTTCTTGTTTCTTCTTCCGAGCAGCTTCCTCTTCAATCTCCTTTTTGACCTCCTCTTGAATTGCTTGATCTTCTTCATCATCATCTTGGTCCATTTTGTGGGATTCTTCAAGATGCTTCATCAAGACAGCAACTACTACATTGACCAATACGAACTGAGCCATCAGTACAAAACTCACAAAATAAATGGGAGAAAGTATGGGACTGGCACAACAGTTCTTCTCACACTCTGAAGAGTCGTCACATGCTGGTGCAGTCCGCAGTGTATCCTAAAAAATAATTCAGCAATAAATATTATAGTCCCCTAACAACCAACTGAAATGATTTAGCTTACATTAGTCATACAATGCAACCTTTTTACATATACCACGCATTTTCACCAAATATGATACAAATGATTGAACTAAAATGTTCATTAAACCACAGTAATACATGTATGTCATTAATCCATATAAAAGCCAAAACAAAACTAAAGCAACAAAGTTAATGTAATCTGGGATTGAATTCAAATCATAGTTAATCAATTATGATTTACTTACCTTCATTATACCATTCCAATTATCCCCCGTTGATATCCGAAATAAGGTGAGGAAGGCCATGCCAAAATTACGGAATGATGCATGCCTCCCTAAGCCTGCACACGGATTAGAGATTCTACAGTCTAGAGACAGATAAAACAAGTCATTGTTAATGACATTGTTCCCATTAAATTTTTAGTGGCTGTGTCAATTATAAACAATGAAAGATGTAAATAAATTACAGTTAAATTTAGGTATTCAATATTTTAAAAATAAATGCATGCATGTACATTGCTATATTTGGCTGCTACATTCATGTCTAGAGCAGTTCTTGGTGGCAAACAATATTTTCATTACTGACAAATTTGTTGATTACTGTAGACTACTTTATTTTCGCTTAGAATTTATTTTCGCTATTTTCGCTGGAGCGATGATTCCGTGAAAATAAAATCCAGCGAATATACTTTTTTTCCTATATTTCACATTAAACTGATCAAAAATCAGTGAAAATAAATTCCATACAAAACACCCAAAAAGGCTTTTCAGTGAAAATTAATTCCAGCGAAAAGTATTCCACAGTATTATTGGAGTTATCATGACACCAATGACGGACGACAGACATTTTTCCACTACTATGACTTTCCCCTTGCTTCATTATTGGCGAGCCAAAAACAATACTTTTGGCGGTGGTAGAGGTGACAATAGCCCAGCCCAATTTAGTCTGACCATGTCAGAGTTGCCATGGTGACCATGAATAAACATGGCCATGTTTTTGATATTTTGACATTTATGATCATGATAGAACATGATTTAAAATGCGTATGGTGTTAAAAGTCAACAAAATGAGAAACAACTGTGTGATCAAACAACACTGTCAAAATCACAACTCATTCGATCATGAAAGACCATTGAAGATAATTTTTCAGTAAAAGGTTGTGAAGCCTTTATGTAAAAATCAACACAACATAATAGAAGACAATATTATCATCACATGGTAATAGTGCCTATCATTCACCACGATCTCAAACCAAAAACTAAATTATGCATCCATAATGTGTTAATCCCTGATATGACAACTTCAGGCTGTATTAGAATGCAACAAAATTCATATTTCGAAAAAAAAAAACGGTTAAAACAGGTACTGTCACTGTAACTGCAGATATGTGCTCACCAACACACTTTGACGACATACCTCATTAGTATAAAATCAGGATTTCTCAATTTTTTTGACAGCCCGAGCCGATCACATGATAAAAAGGTTACCCCTGATATCACTTATTTGTAGAACTGATTGAAATTCATGGCATCAAAGACATGTGTTCTTTTCATTTCTGGAGCAGAGAATTTAATTTTTGTTTTGTGTCAAGTGATTATCTTTTTAACCTTGTTCCATTTTTGAAAGTTCCATGTTGTGCTGACAATGTACTATATTTTAATATTGTCATTTATATATATTATGTAATATCTGAAGAAATAAAAGTCTGATAGGTATTATGCCTCTAGTGGTAGGTATCATGCCCACTAGTGGTAGGTATAATGTCCTCTAGTGGTAGGTATAATGTCCTCTAGTGGTAGGTATAATGTCCTCTAGTGGTAGGTATAATGTCTTCTCGTGGTGGGTATCATGCCCACTAGTGGTAGGTATCATGTCCTCTAGTGG